GTCTGATCCACCTATGTTGTAGTGATGAGTGTTGCATGATGGGATGTAGAGAAGGCGATTCCTGACCAAGTGACAACCAGGTCCAAGCTCAAGAATCGCCTTCTCTACATCCCATCATGCAACACTCATCACTACAACATAGGTGGATCAGACTGTGGGGTCCAGCTTGGAGGACAGGCGACGTCTGCATGGAGTGTGTCCCCCATGTTTTGGGACCTTCACCCGGATATACAGAGGAGGGATTCTGAAGAGACAGCAGTGTGCCTTCTGTCACAACACAACCAGGGACAATGACGGACTCTTTAACCCCTCGCCTACAGGGCACTTCTACCCCCTTCCTGCCTACCGGGCACTTCTACCCCCTTCCTGCCCACCGGACACTTCTACCCCCTTCCTGCCCACCGGGCGCTTTTACCCCCTTCCTGCCTACCGGGCGCTTCTACCCCCTTCCTGCCTACAGGACACTTCTACCCCCTTCCTGCCCACCAGGCGCTTCTACCCCCTTCCTGCCCACCGGGCACTTCTACCCCCTTCCTGCCTACAGGGCACGTCTACCCCCCTTCCTGCCCACCGGGCACTTCTACCCCCTTCCTTCCCACCAGACACTTCTACCCCCTTCCTGCCCACAGGGCAGTTCTACACCCTTCCTGCCTACAGGGCACTTCTACCCCCTTCCTGCCTACAGGGCACTTCTACCCCCTTCCTGCCTACCGGACACTTCTACCCCCTTCCTGCCTACCGGACACTTCTACCCCCTTCCTGCCTACAGGACACTTCTACCCCCTTCCTGCCTACCGGACACTTCTACCCCCTTCCTGCCCACAGGGCACTTTTACCCCCTTCCTGCCTACCGGACACTTCTACCCCCTTCCTGCCTACCGGACACTTCTACCCCCTTCCTGCCCACCGGGCACTTCTACCCCCTTCCTGCCTACAGGGCACTTCTACCCCCTTCCTGCCTACCGGACACTTCTACCCCCTTCCTGCCCACCGGGCACTTCTACCCCCTTCCTGCCTACCGGGCGCTTCTACCCCCTTCCTGCCTACCGGATGCTTCTACCCCCTTCCTGCCTACCGGGCGCTTCTACCCCCTTACTGCATTGGGCATTGACAGACATCACTGATGAGGAGGCACTGATAGGTGGCACTGATGGGCATTGACAGACATCACTGATGGGCACTGAAAGGCAGTACTCATATGGTACAGATAGGTGGCACTGACTGGCACTGATAGTTGGCACTGAAAGGCAGCTCAAATGGGCACTGATATGTGGCATTGATGTGCACTGGTAGGCACTGACAGGTGGCACTGATGGGGCTACACTGATCATCAGTGTAGATGTCCCCTCTGAGGAATGCCGATTATCAGCTCTAATCTCCTCTGTCAGCGTGACAACTCGTGAGGAGAGAAATGTGGATAACCGTCATTTCCATATTTACATGCGATCCGCTGTGATTGGACACAGCTGATCACATGACCGAGCCAAAGTCATCAGTTCTTTCCGTTGATCGGTGATCTGCTGTGTCCCAGGGACAGAGGGCACCACTGATCGCTGCGTTGTGTGGCCCCCGGGGGCACGGACACACAGAGTGGGAGGAGGTCATACGACGTCCTCCCAGAACGAGAGAACCGCCTTGCGCCCGTCATTACCTTATATGGTGGGCGGGAGGCAGTTGAAAAGAATCTTCTTTTTTATTATTATTATACAGGATTTATGGCGCCAACAGTGTGCTCAGCGCTGTACAATATAACGGGAGACAATACAGATCAATACAAGAGGGTTAGGGGGGCCCTGATCCTGGGAGCTTACAACCTAAGAGGGAGGGGCTGATCCTGGGAGCTTACAATCTAAGAGGGAGGGGCTAGTGGTACAAAACGTAATAACTGTGGGGGATGGACTGGTAGGAGGAATAGAAGATTCCGTTATTAGCTGAAGGAAGGATAGGCTTCCCTGAAGAGATCGGTTTTCAGAGATCACCTAAAATTGGGCAGAGTAGGCGATAGTCTGATAGATTGGGGTAGAGAGTTCCAGAGGATGGGGGAGGCTCTGGAAAAGTCATGGAGATGAGCATGGGAGGAGGAGAGAAGGGAGCTAGAGAGCAGGAGGTCGTGGGAAGAGTGGGGAGGACGATTTGGGTGATCTTTGGAGACAAGATCGGTGATGTCATTGGGGGCGGAGTTATAAATGGCTTTATATGTTTCTTTCAGCTCTGCCCAAAAAGCTGACCATAAAAGACCAGCAGCCACCAGCAGAATCCTTCCCCGACACAGCGGATATAGTGAATGCGGGGTCCGAGGAGAGCGGATATAGTGAATGCGGGGTCCGGGGAGAGCGGATATAGTGAATGCGGGGTCCGGGGAGATCGGATATAGTGAATGCGGGGTCCGGGGAGAGCGGATATAGTGAATGCGGGGTCCGGGGAGAGCGGATATAGTGAATGCGGGGTCCGGGGAGAGCGGATATTGTGAATGCGGGGTCCGGGGAGAGCGGATATAGTGAATGCGGGGTCCGGGGAGACCGGATACAGTGAATGCGGGGTCCGGGGAGAGCGGATACAGTGAATGCGGGGGTCCGGGGAGACCGGATATAGTGAATGCGGGGTCCGGGGAGAGCGGATATAGTGAATGCGGGGTCCGGGGAGACCAGATATAGTGAATGCGGGGTCCGGGGAGAGCGGATATAGTGAATGCTGGGTCCGGGGAGAGCGGATATAGTAAATGCGGGGTCCGGGGAGTGGGGATATAGTGAATGCAGGGTCCGGGGAGAGCGGATATAGTGAATGCGGGGTCCGGGGAGAGCGGATATAGTGAATACGGGGTCCGGGGAGAGCGGATATAGTGAATGCGGGGTCCGGGGAGAGCGGATATAGTGAATGCTGGGTCCGGGGAGAGCGGATATAGTAAATGCGGGGTCCGGGGAGTTGGGATACAGTGAATGCGGGGTCCGGGGAGAGCGGATACAGTGAATGCGGGGTCCGGGGAGAGCGGATATAGTGAATGCGGGGTCCGGGGAGAGAGCGGATATAGTGAATGCGGGGTCCGGGGAGAGCGGATACAGTGAATGCGGGGTCCGGGGAGAGCGGATACAGTGAATGCGGGGTCCGGGGAGAGCGGATACAGTGAATGCGGGGTCCGGGGAGAGCGGATATAGTGAATGCGGGGTCCGGGGAGAGCGGATATAGTGAATGCGGGGTCCGGGGAGAGCGGATATAGTGAATGCGGGGTCCGGGGAGAGCGGATATAGTGAATGCGGGTCCGGGGAGAGCGGATATAGTGAATGCGGGGTCCGGGGAGAGTGGGGATACAGTGAATGCGGGGTCCGGGGAGAGCGGATATAGTGAATGCGGGGTCCGGGGAGAGCGGATATAGTAAATGCGGGGTCCGGGGAGTGGGGATACAGTGAATGCGGGGTCCGGGGAGAGCGGATATAGTAAATGCGGGGTCCGGGGAGTGGGGATATAGTGAATGCAGGGTCCGGGGAGAGCGGATATAGTGAATGCGGGGTCCGGGGAGAGCGGATATAGTGAATACGGGGTCCGGGGAGAGCGCGGATATAGTGAATGCGGGGTCCGGGGAGAGCGGATATAGTGAATGCTGGGTCCGGGGAGAGCGGATATAGTAAATGCGGGGTCCGGGGAGTTGGGATACAGTGAATGCGGGGTCCGGGGAGAGCGGATACAGTGAATGCGGGGTCCGGGGAGAGCGGATATAGTGAATGCGGGGTCCGGGGAGAGCGGATATAGTGAATGCGGGGTCCGGGGAGAGCGGATACAGTGAATGCGGGGTCCGGGGAGAGCGGATACAGTGAATGCGGGGTCCGGGGAGAGCGGATACAGTGAATGCGGGGTCCGGGGAGAGCGGATATAGTGAATGCGGGGTCCGGGGAGAGCGGATATAGTGAATGCGGGGTCCGGGGAGAGCGGATATAGTGAATGCGGGGTCCGGGGAGAGCGGATATAGTGAATGCGGGTCCGGGGAGAGCGGATATAGTGAATGCGGGGTCCGGGGAGTGGGGATACAGTGAATGCGGGGTCCGGGGAGAGCGGATATAGTGAATGCGGGGTCCGGGGAGAGCGGATATAGTAAATGCGGGGTCCGGGGAGTGGGGATACAGTGAATGCGGGGTCCGGGGAGAGCGGATATAGTAAATGCGGGGTCCGGGGAGTGGGGATATAGTGAATGCAGGGTCCGGGGGAGAGCGGATATAGTGAATACGGGGTCCGGGGAGAGCGGATATAGTGAATGCGGGGTCCGGGGAGAGCGGATATAGTGAATGCGGGGTCCGGGGAGAGCGGATATAGTGAATGCTGGGTCCGGGGAGAGCGGATATAGTAAATGCGGGGTCCGGGGAGTTGGGATACAGTGAATGCGGGGTCCGGGGAGAGCGGATACAGTGAATGCGGGGTCCGGGGAGAGCGGATACAGTGAATGCGGGGTCCGGGGAGAGCGGATACAGTGAATGCGGGGTCCGGGGAGAGCGGATACAGTGAATGCGGGGTCCGGGGAGAGCGGATACAGTGAATGCGGGGTCCGGGGAGAGCGGATACAGTGAATGCGGGGTCCGGGGAGAGCGGATACAGTGAATGCGGGGTCCGGGGAGAGCGGATACAGTGAATGCGGGGTCCGGGGAGAGCGGATATAGTGAATGCGGGGTCCGGGGAGAGCGGATATAGTGAATGCGGGGTCCGGGGAGAGCGGATATAGTGAATGCGGGGTCCGGGGAGAGCGGATATAGTGAATGCGGGGTCCGGGGAGAGCGGATATAGGGAATGCGGGGTCCGGGGAGAGGGGATATAGTGAATGCGGGGTCCGGGGAGAACGGATATAGTGAATGCGGGGTCCGGGGAGAGCAGATATAGTGAATGCGGGGTCCGGGGGAGAGCGGATATAGTGAATGCGGGGTCCGGGGAGAGCGGATATAGTGAATGCAGGGTCCGGGGAGAGCGGATATAGTGAATGCGGGGTCCGGGGTTTAGGAACACCGAATCCCAAGTCTTACCTTCTTCCCCGTCCAGGACAAATAACTTCTCTATCACGGGTTCCAGGTCTTCTCTGGCTGTGGCCCTCACCGAGGAACATGAAAGGTGGACCAGATCTGCAATCAGAGGATCAGATTCAAGTCAAAGTACATATATTATATTTCTGAAACAGGGACACTAACATTAGTTTCTAGTACAAAACACTAATATAAGGTCTTTTTAAAATTTATTTTAAATGAAAACAATTAAAAAAAGGAAAAAAAAGTAAATATTACGGATTTGAAAATTAGAAATATAAAATTATGTTGATTAGAAAAAAACAAAAGGGCTAAATTGATTAAAATTTTTGGAACTTTTTGGAACTTGTTAAACAGAGTAAATACAAAATGTTACTTTGTATCTCTCCCTCTCCCGTCTGATCGATGTTTATAAACAATGTTACTTTGTATCTCTATTTTTCTAAATAATATTTGGTTTTCTCAATTTTCATAATTATATTTAATATTTTACTATATTTTATTTAATTTTTTGTATATTTTATTTTCCTAACATTTTTTTTTTATTTCTTTTATTTTATTTTTCTAATTTTTTCATTTTTTACTATATTTAATCTAATTTTTCTTTATTTTATGGAATCACCCAGCCAAACAAGTGACAGCGTCTTTTTTTTGCAATTTTCCAAGGTCCCCCCCCGTTCAAAAGCTTTGAGGGGGGGGAGCCACGTTTTGATTTGTTTTTTTAAATTTATTTTTTTAATTGCATTTTTTTTTTTTTGCTTTTTTTTTAATTAGATACAAACTATATTTTTTTTTTTTTTTTTTTTTTTTTTCTAAATAATATTTTTTTTTTTTCTTTTTTTTTTTTTTTTTTTATATTAAATTTTTTTATTTAATTTTTTTTATTTTTTTATTTTCCTAAACATTTTATTTTTTTAATTTTTTATTTTTTTTTTTTTTTTTTTTTTTTCTAATGAGATTTCATTTTTTTTACTATATTCATATGATTGATTTTTTTTCCTAAAAATATTTTTTTTTTTTTAATTTTTATTTTTTTTTTTTTTTATTTAGATTTTTCATATTTTACTATATTTTTTTTTTTTTTTTTTTTTTTTTATGATTTTTGTTTTCCTTTTTATTTATTTTTTTTTTGCATTTTTTTTTTTTATTTTTTTTTTTTAATTAGCATTTTTTTTTTTTATATTTTTTTTTTTTTTCTAAATAATATTTGGTTTTTTTTTTCATTTTATATTTAATTTTTTTTTTTTTTTTTTTGTATATTTTTTTATTTTTTTTAAACATATTTTTTTTTTTTTTTTTTTTTTTTTTTTTTTTTTTTTTTTCTAATTAGATTTTTTATTATATTTATATTTTTTTTTTTTTTTCCTAAACAAATATATTTTTTTTTTAATTTTTTTTTTTTTTATTTTTCTAATTAGATTTTTATTTTTTTTTTTTTTTTTTTATTTGTTTTCCTAAACATATATATATTTTTTAATTTTTTTTTTTTTTTTTTTTTTTTTTTTTTTTTTAATTAGATAGCAAATTTTTTATTTTTTTTTATTTTTTTTTTTTAAATAAATTGAATATTCAGAAAGGGGGTCAGTGATGGCGATTCCGAATTCCTCCCAGGACAGGTTTTTAACCACCTTTTTTTTTTTTTTGTTTTTTTTTTTAGCAAGCAAATTGCAGAACTTTTTTTTTTTTTTCAGCAAGCCACGCAGCCTTAACCTTTTCCCGTTTTTTTAAAGAAAGATGGCGATTTTATCAGAAGAGACGGGACACGGCGGACGCATCAATTTTTTTTTTTTTTTTTTTTTTTTTAAACAAATTTTTTTTTTTTCCAATCGGGGGCCAATTTTTTGGGGTTTTTTTTTTTTATAATTCTTAGTATTTTTTCCTCATTTTTTTTTTTAAAAAGCAACAATGAGAGAAAGGAGGAAATTTTTTTTTTTTTTTTTTTTTTTTTTTTTAGATTTTTTTTTTTTTTTTTTTTTATAAACATTTTTTTTACAAAGAGACCGTTTTTTTTTTTTTTTTTCAAAGGACGCGGCGTGTTTTAAAGATTTTTTTTCGCTAAAATAACTTTTTTTTTTTTAATTTTTTTTTTTTTTTTTATCACGGAAGATTTTTTTTTTTTTTTTTTTTTTTTACAATTTATTTTTTTTTTTTTGTTTAATTTTAATTTTTTTTTTTTTTTTTTTTGGTTTTTAATACAAGCGTTACAAAACACACTTTTTTTTTTTTTGTGTACTGCCAACCGCGACATTATTTCCCGTCCAGTGACACACGGCGAGGGGCAGAGCCGCGTTTTTTTCACACGCTTTATTGGGAGTCCCAAAAATGGGGAAATATATACTTTTTTTTTTTTTTGTTTTTTTTTTTCTGCCTCTACCACCCCCCCTCCCCCCCAGTGTAGAAAAATGAACTATTGTATGTCCATTTTTTTATACTTTTTTGTCGTGGCCTGCAAACTCCACATCTTTTTTTTTTTTTTTGATTTTTTCAAATTTTACTATTTATTTTAGTTTCCTAATTGTATTTTTTTTTAAATTTTATGGTTTTCTCAATTTTCAGAATTATGTTTTTTTTTTTTTTTTTATTTAATTTTTAATTTGTTATAGATTTTATTTTCCGAATTATATATTTTTTTTTTAATTTTTTTTTTTTTTTTTTTTAATAGAATTTCAAATTTTTTTATTTTTTTTTTTTTTTTTTATTTTTTTTATATTTTTTTATTTAATTTTTTTTTTTTTTTTTATAGCATTTTTTTTGCTTTTTTTTACAATATAATTTTTTTTTATATTTAATTGTTTTTTTTTTTTAAATATTATTTTTTTTTCTCAATTTTCATTTTTATTTTTTTAATTTTTTTTTTTTTTTATTTAATTTTAATTTTTTTTTATATTTTTTCCTAAATAGATTTATTTTTTTTAATTTTTTTTTTTTTTTTTTTTTTTCTAATTAGATTAGAAATTTTAGTATATTTTTTTTTTTTTTTTTATATATTTTATTTTTTAAGTATTTTTTTTTTTTTCAATTTTTTTTCACAATTATATTTTTTATTTTTTTTTTTTTTTTTTAATTTTTATTTTTTTTATATTTTTTTTTTTAAATTTTTATATATTTTTTTTTAATTGCATTATTTATTTTTTTTTTTTTAATTAGATTTTTATTTTTTTTTTTATTTTTTTTTTTTTATTTTTACTTTATTATTATTATACAGGATTTACATAGCACCAACAGTTTGCTCAGCGCTTTTTTTTTATATATATATTTTATATATTATATATATTATATATATATATATTTTAATTTTTTATTTTTTTTTTATTTTTTCTCAATTTTTTTTTTAATTTTTATTTTTAATATTTTTTTTTTTTTTTTTTTTTTTTTAAATTTTTTTTTTTTAATTTTTTTTTTTTTTTTTTTTTCATTTTTTTTTTTTTAATTTTTTTTTTTTATTTATTATATTATTTTATTTTTTTTTTAGACATTTTTTTTTTCCTAAATATTTTTTTTTTTTTTTTTTTTTTTTTTTTTTAGATTTCAAATTTTTTTTTTTTTTTTATTTTTTTTTTTTTTACTATATTTTTATTATTATTTTTTCAGAATTTATATAGCGCCAATTTTTTTTTTTTCAGCGCTTTACAATATATCTATTTTTTTTAATTGTATTTTTTTTTTCAAAATACTATTTTTTTTTCTCAATTTTCATCATTATATTTATTATTTTACTATTTTTTATTTTTTTTATTTTTTTTTATACATCTTAATTTCCTAAATATATTTTTTTTTTTTTTACCACTTCAAGTCCGGACACTTTCACCCCCTTCCTGTCCAGGCCAATTTTCAGCTTTCAGTGCTTTACACTGATTTTGTTTTTTTTTTTTAAAGGCTGTAAAATCAATCGTTTCTCCTTCTCTATGTCTGCATTCTTGAAGCCATTCAGAAATGCTGTATGAGCTGTGATTGGTTTTTTTTTTTTTTGTCACATGGTACAAGGGTGTTGTGAATAGCCCTGTACCATGTGACCTCGGTGATCATTCACAGATTTCACACGTAGTAAGCAATGAGGTCAGAAGTGACATCTTTTTTACTACTCTGCATGTGATCACTGATTGGCCAATCAGTGATCACATGATCGGGACCTCGCACAGAGGTCCCATACAGCAATCGGTGTTCGCGGTTTTTGCGTGCTCCCAGGGAGCGCGCAAAGGCAGGGAATTTTTTTTTTTATAAAGGCGATCCGCTTCAGCACTGCTACAGTCCACCCGTTTATGTCCATGGGCCGGACGGGAAGTGGTTAATTGTATTTTTTATTTTTTTTTTTATTTTTTTTTTTTTTTTTTCATTTTTTACTTTATTTAATCTAATTTTTTTTTTTATTATATATTTTCCTAATTATATTTTATGATAGTTTTCTAATTTTTTTTTTTTTAATTTTCCTAATTATATTTTGCTATATTTTAATTTTATTTACCTAATCCAAAAAAAGTTAATGATAATTTATTTTATTTCTCTAAATAGGATTAATATTTTCCTATATTTATTAAATTTATTTATATTTTATTATAGATTTTGTTTTCCTAAATATATAAACCTAATTAAATTGTATTAATTTTATTCTATTTTTTTTTCCTAATTATATTTTTTTTTTATATACATTTTTCTAATGATATTTTATTATTTTTTTTTATTTTTTTTATATTTTATTTTTGCTAATTATATTATATTGTATTTATTTATTCAAATTGTATTATTTTTTTCTATTGTATTTTCCTAACCATAGTTTTAGCCTAATTGTATTTTCCTTTTTATATACATTTGTCTAATTATATTTTGTTTTTAAATTGTATTTATATTTTATTTAGCTAATTATATTGTGTATATTATATTGTATTTATTCAAATTTTATTAATTTTTTTTCTATTGTATTTTCCTAACTATTTTTTTTTCCCTAATTATATTTTTTTTTTTATATACATTTCTCTAATTATATTTTAATAATTTTTTACATTTTATTTTTATATTTTACTAATTATATTATATTGTATTTATTTATATTTTATTACATTTTTTTCTATTATATTTTCCTAACCATATTTTTTTCCTAATTA